TAGCAGCGCAACTCTAAAACTTGCACTGGGTTGCCGCGCGCAACTTCATCTGTTGCGCGCGACACCTGCTACGGTAGGTTGCTCGAAACCCTAAACCTAATTCTTCTCTATAAATACGAGCTTAAACCAAGGCTTCAAAAGACAGAAATTAACCTAAAAACTCTGGCGAAATAACTTGAGAACTTGTGCAACCTAGCCCTTTTGTCCTAAACACTCACCCTTTCGATACTTTGATACTACGGTGGAGGTTCCCCAACAAGATGGCGTCCGTAAGTGTTCTAAATGGAGATCTAACAAAGAGAAGTGGTAAATTCCCGAGCACTTAGTTAAATCACCTTTATTTTCTTGTTTAAAAGGACTTTAATAAATTAATTAGTGTTGTTTGATCACTTTTAAAATAATTGATTAATCGATTTCACATAGTATCTTGCGTTAAATAAAGACTAGAATTGAATTAAATAATTGTTGTTGATCACTTAAGCCAAGGCGAATCATGTTTATTTATTGTTCTTTCACGAATATTATTAAATAAGAATAACGACTTTTGCAATGTAATTCATACGTGAATTAATGCTTGTAAATAAAATCAACTAACATAGTTTTAGGCATCGCGTTGTATATATTGTTTGGTGATGAAATTGTGAAAAAGGAAGAGCTAGTAGAGGTCGTAATAGGGCTAGGATGACGATTCCCCTATAAACGGAACGTTATCTTAGTACCCTCACTCCCGAACTCATTTCTGGTTTATAGATCAATTTGGGCATAGGTAAACTTATGATTTGTGCTAATTATTTCATGAACTCCACATGGAAGAAAGGCATGAATGAGGTTTATGAGTTTTTCCTAAAAGTCATTGGCGACTCCTACTTGTTTCTTATAAAAAAGCGTGACGATATAACCAATTCTAATTCAAGGTCCCCCAAACAGTCAGGAATTCAAATCCTACTACACCTTAACAAGTGTAGTCCTAGGCTTTTAAGTGGCCAAGGGCATTTAAGGAGAGTACCCCTTACGATGGGATCACCCTCCTTACAGTGGCGACTCTGCTGGGGACGGAGAGGTTACATGATTAATTCGTAGTTATGGTCCAAGGTATCCAACACTAGGTTGCTTATGGGTTGTAACGAGAATTAACTTGGATAATCTCTAGTTAGAGAGCGAGACTTGAACGCATAATATCTTCCTTTTTCACAAAAGTAAAACCAAACAAGCAACATTGCATCATGCATAAGTATAGCACATTAAACCATTGGGGATTGGCTCATTGACTAGGGTCGCCAAAACTAGGCGTCTATCCCAAAATAATTAACAATCATCCCACCCATATGACCAACAAAATGTTGGGAGGGCGATTTCATGGGTCAACACATTGATTGATTGATTTATGCATCGTTTCGGAAGGTATGGTACCTTTGGACACCCAAGCCTTTTTTGACCTTAGAATGGCATTGCGTGAATCTTGACTTATAACATGATTATGTGATTATGTGACTATGCACAACGTGTTAGGATAGTCTTTTTTTTTTAGTTTGGTCTAGGTTCCCAATTACGAAGTTGTCTCTTCGTGATTTAGCGTCATATTCAAAGGATAACATAAAAAAAGGGTCAAATAAAAAAAAATTGATTAAAAAAAATGCTCGAATTAAAATAAATATACTACAAGCAGGTGGCACGCGCAACTGAAGAAGTTGCGCGACCCCTCCCAGTGCAAGTTATTTTGTTGCGCGCGCCCACTAGACGAGTCAGTTTTGATTTCTCCAAAAACAAATTGACTTGTCCGAACAATATCTTTATTGAAGAATTGTTAAGGGAGATGTTATCCGTTTGAGTATATTTTGCGTCTTTTTTCTTTCTTTTCCTTTCAAAAAACAAACATATCGATTTACTTATCATTTCGAACTCCTTTAAGGCCGGTTTTCAAGCTTGGGAAAGAGGAACCCGGGCACTCGCATTCTACGTTTACCACCCAAAGATCAACCCCTTTCAAACCACTTTCATTCGACAACTAATCCTAGTCCAACAACAATGACAACCGTCGAAGAACTTCAACAAGAGATTCTTGGTATGAGAGAGGAAAAGGCTCAAGAGGCCGAGGAGAGAAGAATTAAGAAGATGGAAAATGCTGAAAAGAAAAAAGTTGAAGCATTTGCCTTACAAGAAAAGATGGAGCAACTAACCATTAAAGAAAAGTCGTTAGAGAAGCTAGTTCTTCGTTCTATAATGGGGAACAAGTACTTTAACGCCTAAAAGTTTGCTCCACCCCCATGACTTGCTTTACCACAAAAGTTTGTAGCTAGGGACTTGCCAATATTTAAGGTGACCAATAATCCACAAAATCACTCAATGTGTTTTACTGGAACTATGGCACTAAAGGGAGTTGATCCTAAGCTTTATGCTTTGACTTTCCCTTTATCACTAGACCCAACCGCGTGAGAGTGGTACTATGGGCTAGATCCAAAATTTAAAGCAACATGGGAAGATGTAGTTTCGGCTTTCATCACCCAATACGAGAGTAACGTAGAGTTCAAGTCAACTTTACGTGAACTCGAGATGCTTAAGCAAAGAGACGATGAAGGTTTCCTTGCTTTCTATGGTAGATGGCGAGAAAAGGCAGTCCACTTGCCCAAAGGCCTCCTAAACTCGAGTTTATACAAAAATTCATTGACAATTGTCATGAAAATTACAACAAACATCTACGTTACCTTGGTCTAGACACTTTTCAAAAGGTCTATTCTGTGGCTACTAGGATTGAAGATGATCTTGCTAAGAAAAAAGCAAACAAACCTCATTATCATCATCAACCTAAGAATAACTACAAGAAGGGGAATAATAATGCATCATCCTCTATTGACGTATTTGCGACTTCCACGGATTATAATAACAATCGATATGATGATCCTAGGAAAAGATGGACAAAAGAGAGAAAATTTACTACATTTCCTGTAAGCAATAAAGAATTGCTAGAAAAACTAAATGAAAAAGTCTTACTTGCCCTAACATGGCCAACACCACCTACTCTACCAGAAAAAAGGTTTCCTTAATGGAATGTTAGTGCTTATTGTGCTTATCATAGAGGCGTTGGACACAATACTGAACGTTGCTATGTTTTAAAGCACAAAATACAAGATTTAGTAGACGATGGGAGAATTCCCATGCCTAAACCTAACAATAATGCATCCCCCTTAGGGGTGTTTAACATTGAGGAAGACCATATGGGAAGTGACGCGTTCAATCCTTTGGACTATATCACACCCACAGGAGAACCTCTATCCACAATAATCATAGGGGCAACTAATGAAGTATGTGGACTATGGGACGACGTCTTTCAAGACTTATATGTCCCTAAGTATGCCGCCATCCACCTCCATCTTGTTTGCAAAATGAAACAAATGGAACCCTTAATTGGGATCATTTCTCGGGGAAATCGCAAGACTTATCGAATCTCTCCTTGGATGAACAATGACATCAAGCACAACTCATGGAGCATCTTGAAATGGAGGCACATCCAAAGCCTCTAGAAGAAAGTTGGTTTATGAGTCTTGTGACTAACCCAAATGAGATAGATCGTTTAACTCGTTCTGGGCGAGTCTACCAAGCACCACCACCAAATGGATCTTCGACCACACAAAATCAAACTCAAGGTCAAACACAAAATACAATACCACCTCCACTTAAGGTGGAAGATCCATAGGTCAAACAACTTCGCCAATCCAAGGCAAATGTTAGCATTTGGGAACTCACAAGTACTTATAAAGAACATAGGAATTCTCTCATGAACGCTCTAACGGCTTTGTCTGTAAGTAAGGACACAACCCCTCAAGATCTCGTTAGCTTGCTTACTAGAGAGAAATCCGACAAGTCAATCGTTTTCACTAATGATGATTTGCCTTTAAAGGACATTACCCACAACAATGCGTTATACTTAACTATGAAATGAAAGGGATACAACATCCCTTTAACTTTGGTAGACAATGGGTCGGCTGTAAACGTATGCCCATTCAAACGGCAAAATACTTAGGCTTATATCTAGAAAAAGATTTCCAATCAACAAAACAAAGCATAAGGGCCTATGACAGTTCGAGAAGATCGGTGTGTGGAACTGTTAAGCTACCAATTACCACAGGCGCAATTCAAAAGATTGTTGAATTCCATGTTATGGACATAAACCTACATTCAACCTTTTACTTGGTCGTCCTTGGATACACGAGATTGGTGCAATACCATCCTCACTTCATCAAATGATTAGGTTGAACTATCAAGGGCTTCCTATGACTATACATGCTTCTCCACTCAAAACAGCAATAAATGATCAATCACTCTTAGAAATAAACCATGATAATGATGAAGAGGACATGTGGGGATTTGCCGTGGAGCCAATCTTCACAATTGAAATGGAAGGAGACTTGGAAGAATCATTGAAGCTTAATCTATATTCCACTCGGATAGTAAACACCATCTTGCTCAAGATTAGTTACTTTCCTGGGATGCCTTTGGGAATAGGAATGAAGAAATCTCTCTTACTTCCTATCCCAAAGAAAAGCTTCTCCTGTGGATTGGGATATAAACCAACCAAAGAAGAGTTGGAGTCTCACGATGCCAAAAACAAAGCACATAGAGACAATAATAAGAAAGGGATAATCACTTTACTCCCATCCTATCAATGAACCTTTAATGGACAATTCATTAGGGAGGGAGAAGATTACCCATGCTACGAATTTCCGGAACCCTTAGTTTTGGAAGGAATCAAGAAGCCTGGGTTTGAGATATTTCATGATTGCTACTTCTTGGATAACGCACTAGTGGAAAATTTGTCATTTGTAACACCCTATTTGTAACGGACAATATAAAATTCGTTACGAAAAGAGTAATTATAACGGGCAATATATATATCCGTTACGAAATAAACTCATTTGTAACGGGTAGAAAAATGCCCATTACGATTAGTTAATACCTGTAACGGGCAAATAAATGCCAGTTATGAATAGTTAATATTTGTATCTGGCAAATATAGAGCCCAAAGCCCGTTACAACTAAATAAGCGCTAGGGTTTAAATCCTTATTTTGTTCCAGGCCAGCCGCATTTCTTTCTCAAAGCGTGCTCTCTCTCCTCATTTCTCTTCTTCCTCTGTCCTCTTCATTTTCTCTCTCCTATTCTCTTTCTTTTTAGATCCAAACCATCAATCATCCACCTTTTAAGCTTTTTACGCCCACCGTTGAGCCACGAGCATCCACCACAAAGCCATGAGATGTTGGTCCTAGCATTCAATTGGTTAAGGTTTTTCAGTTTTAGATTCTATTTTAATTTAGGTTAAATAAAAATTTAGTTTTTCTCTTTGAGTTTTTAATTCAAATTTCTGATTACAACTAATTTGTATTTTTTGTTATTACTTAGATCAGACAAGTATTTACTTTTTGTTTATTTTGAGATAATTGTTTATGTAAATTTTTGTGGTGTGGCGGATTTTCTGTGTAGTGGTGGTTGGTAGGTATGGTAGGGGCAATGGTGGTGAGAATCGTAGGGGTGGGCGCGCCGGTTGGTCCTAGCAACGGCGACAGTGGGTTATTTTGTCATTTAATGTTTTTTAGTTTTTGTTTTGCTCAAATTTACAATTTCATGTTTTCGGCACCAAATATCTGATTTTTTATTTTAATTCAATTTTTTTCATAGAAATTGTGCCTTGTCTATCACATGCAGCAAATTATTGACTTTTGACAACATTAATTGTTAGTATTTCTTGAAATTATATAGATCCGTGTTTCTGAGCTTTCAAATTACCAATGTGCAGGGGAGGGAACCTGGGTACGAGATTGAACCCGGGTATTGTGGCGATGCGAAGGTTTGGTATTGATGATGAGGAAAGGGATACCAGATTGTTGTGGGGTGAATGATTTGAAGGTATGACCCACAAGTTCCTACTTTATTAGCCAACTTGCTGCTGTATTTGCTTCGTAAGAAGATTACTGGGCATTGGGCTCAGCTTCGTCAACTTGTTAATCAATCACTTACTATGTAGCACAGGTTTTCTTTCACTCTCTTCTACATTGTTTTTCTTGTATTTTGTTGGGATTTTGTTTGAAGAAATTGAGATGATATGATATTGAGTATGTAATTGAGGTATAAGTTTTTTGGTGGGTGATTGGGGAATAAGTTTGGTAATGGGGGTAATTGAGGAATGAGTTTGATGATGGGTAATTGAGGAATTAGTTTGATAATGGGTAATTGAGGAATCAGCTTGATGATGAGAAATTGACGAACTAATTTGATAATGGTTTGTTGTGAATTAATTGTTGTAGTTAGGATTATTTTACTTGTATATAACAAGTGATTCAAGAAACTTGTCGTAGTTAGGATTATTTTATTAGTGGAATAGTGTGCAATGATTTACTGGAAATGGTGAAATGTATGTTCTATGAAGACTTAACTTTTATCAAATGGGTTGATGGTTGGTTGTGGGTTATATTTTCTGTATAAGATTTGCGGTGATTTTGAGATTTATAGTCGTGTGGGTTGTGATAATTGGAATATCAACCGAAATTGTTTGACTCTATTTATGAATGTGAATTGAATGAATGATAGATATAGTAAGGGATTATCTTTATATTTTGTGATTGCTTCAGTTTTGTTTATATTAGTGTGTTTGTCGAGGTTCTTGTTTCCGAGCTTTTTAGATTATATAATGAATTTAAGATAATCATTAAATTGCCAAAGCATTCTAGATATGCGACTGTCAAAAATGTCAAATATATTCCAAGACATGTGATTGTGTAAAACTTGTAATCAATTCAATACTCCTTATTGTTACTTTGCCCTCTAATTTTCCTTTACTGTCGTACCTTCTTAAATACTTCGTATTATAATATGCTGATGTTGTGAATTTGAGCTACTACTTAACCAAATTATTAAATTTGCGACTGTTGTGAATATCTGTTTTGTAAAATTTCTGCCTAAATACTTCGTATTATAACAAGTACCTTTACAGATTACATATGCTCTTAGCTTTGTTGCTTTTGCATGCCTTTCTGTATCGATTATATAGTGATCAGAGGAACTATTCCAAGGCTAGATGTTGATAATGTGGTCGAGCAGAAGAGTGATATTTCCAAAGCAGTTGCTGATGACTTGAAAAAGTAAGTTTAGGCATGTATATAGCTGCACAAATAATCCTAAAGTCCTATATATATAATAAAAGGGTTTTGTTCTAGAGAGAGAAACTCTAGCATCTCTCTAGCCCTTTGAAGAAGGATCCCGGTGGTTGCCTTGATCAGATTCGTTCTTCAAAGAGCTAGATAGGGAAGCTTGTTTCTTGTTCTTCAATTTGTCAAAATACAAACCCTAAGGGCATTTGGAACTCGGATATGTTCTTCGACCTTCGCTCAAGGTTGAAGAAGGGTTTGTTGTTCTGGTAAGTGTGTTGCGCGATTTGGCTGCTGGAAGGTGTTGCGGGCCTAATCGGTTTCCTTCTTCAATTTTCTGGGTTCTTCGCTCAAAATTGAAGAAGGGACTGAGTTCGTTGTTACGGCGGCTTCTTTGGTTGAATCGACTACTGGGCGGTGCTATTTCCCAGCAGTCAGATTGTGCTGAAAGTGTTGATTTTTCTTCTACTGGGATGATTCCGGGCTTTTGGGCTTCGATTTTCAAATCAAACCCTCGGGTTTCTGGTTTTTTTTTTTTTTTTTTTTTTTTGCTCAAGGTGATGCTGTGTTCTGTTCTAGTTCGCTGATTTCTGGCTTATTTCGCCGGTGACGGGTCTAGTTCAGTGGGTTTGGGGTGCGTTTCAAAGTGGTCGGCGAGTCAGTTGGTTCGGCGGTTGATTTCAACCCCTTGGTTCGGGGGTTTTCTTGCTTGCTTGCGGGAATTTGCTTGGAGGTTCGATTTGGGTTGGTGGCTCTGTTTTGCAGGTTCGTTAGGTTCGCCGGTGACTGGGTTTTCTTGTTTTCTGGTCTATTTCGCCGGTGACTGGTCTAGTTTAGTGGTTTCGGGGTGTATTTCTTTGTGGTTGGCGAGTCAGTAGGTTCGATGATCGTCTTTCATCCCCTGATTGGTGTTTTGTTGTCGGGGCATTGCTCTGTTTTCTAGGTTTGTTTCTCCGAGGGTTCTCTGCTGCTTGCGGGATCTCTACTTGGAGGTTGAGCTAGGGGGTTGGTGGCAGCTCCCCTGATTTGTATATTCGTTTGAGGTTGAGGTATTTCCCGTTGTTCTTCAACTGTTAAAGGAAGGCTAAATATTTTTATTTTCCTCCTGTTTATTATCTGTGTAAAATGAGATTTGCTTCTTTGGTTGTATCTATTGTCTAGATATAGTGTATTACTTTTTCAGCTTAGGCTTCCTAGTGATTAGTGTTGTTGGTTGATGGTTCATGGTAGCGATCCTTTGTCCTGTTTTGTATTGTATGCTTGCCGTGTTGCTGTCCTAGCAGGCTGGTTTCTAGGTTGTTATTTAGGTGTCATTTTATGATTATGTCTATTGATGGTGGATAGTTGTTGGAGGTTGGTTGTCATGGTTAAGTCTGGGTCTTGGTAGCTTGCTTGGTGTGTAGTGGGTTGAGGCCCGTTTTTGTTAGTGCTGTCTCCTGGCATGAGGTGGCATGAGGTGCTAGTTGATGGCTTGTGTTGTATGGTGAGTGATCTTTCTATTGCTACCTTGTTTCTTGCTTCTATCTGGACTTCTTTTTATGCCTCTTCTTTTGTGGTAGTTTTTGATCTATCCTTTCCTTGGCATCTTATGCTTTTATGCTTTGCTTGAGCCTCCTTGTGGTATGATGCTGGCTGATGGTTCATGGCTACGATCCTTTGTCCTGGTTTGTATTGCATGTATGCTTTTGTTCTGTCCTGGCATGCTGACTATGGGGTTATTACTAAGCTGATTTTATGGTGATGCTAGTTGAGGGTGTTTTTTATTGTTTTATTTGGTGGAGGTTGGCTATCTTGGTGAGTCTTGGTCATTCTAGCTTGCCTTGGTATGTAGTGGGATGAGGCCCCGTTTTTAGTGCTGTCTCCTAGCATGAGGTGCTAGTTGATGGCTTGGATTGTATGGTAGGTGGTATCCCTCTTTCTACCTTGGGTCTTGCTTTTGCCTGGGCTCCTTCTTTTGCCTTTTCTGTTGTGGTGGTTGGTGATCAATCTCTGTCCAGGCATCTTATGCTATTATGTGTTCTTGAGCTTCCTTGTGTTTGTGCTGCTGGCTGATGGCTCATAGCTACGATCTTTTGTTCTGGTTTGTACTGCATGTATGCTATTGTTCTGTCCTGGCAGGCTGATTATGGGGTTGTTATCAAGCTGCTTTTTTTATGGTGATGCTGGTGGTAGTGTATTATCTGTTGTTGTCTTGGCATGGTGGAAGTTGGTTGTTATGGGTGAGTTTGGTTATTCTAGCTTGCTTGGTGGGTAGTAGGTTGAGGCCTTATTTTTAGTGTTGTCTTCTAGCATGAGGTGCTAGTTGATGGCCTAGATTGTATGGTGGGTGGTATTCCTATTGCTACCTTGTTTGCTGTTTCTCCCAGGACTCCTTCTTTTCCCTCTTCCATTGTGATAGCTGTTGATCTACCTTTGTTTTGGCATCTTATTTTCTGTCTTGCTTGAGCCTCCTTATGTTTGTGCTGCTGGATGATGGTTTATGGCTGCGATCTTTTATCCTGGTTTGTACTACATGCATGCTGTTGTTCTGTCCTGGTAGGCTGACTGTGGTGTTGTTATCCTGGCGGATGGTGTATGCTTTCAAGCTAAGCTGATGCTTTATTATACTCACCTTATTTGTTATTTTTGGATGTATGGGTTTTTTTACCCATTTTTGGTTGTAGCTTTGGTTTCCTCTCCCTTTGGGAGTTAGAGATTCCGTAGTCGTTATCTTTGTATTGCCTTCGGGCTTTGGTTTTGTTGCTTCTTTGGCCCAGAGGGCATGTACTGCACTTTCATTTCTTGTAGTTGCTACTTTTATGGGTAGTAACTCTTTACTTTTGGTAATAAAATTCTTTATTTACCAAAAAAAAAAAAGTCCTATATATATTTGATCAGAATAATCAGATTCTGAATCTTAAAATTGCTATTTTCTTTTCAGGTAATGTCTCATGGTTTTGAAATTGTTCAAACACTCATTACTGATATTGAACCTCCAGAGCAGCCTCGACCTCGTCGAAGAAACAGAGAGAGAATGCAGCAGTTGGATTCTTATGAGTTTGTATTGTAAGGCTTTGAAAAATGCACTAAATGATTGCTCTGATTTAATAAAGAAGAGGAAGTTGCCTTGTTCAGCTTTGAAATTATGGAGGTTTAGTGAGAAAAAGAATGAAGATGTTTAGTGGAATTATTTTGTAGCTTTTGAATCATGTTAGGAGTTGTTAAGTCAATTTGGACATTAGTGCAAGTTGTATCTTAATTTATAATTAATTGAATTTTACATTTATTATTATTGGAAAGTAATAATAATTTTAAAGATTTGGCATCATAGCAGATTACCAGGTAGCAGGTATCCCCTGCTACTTTTTTATTTATTTTAATTTGTCTTCAATTTTATTTGTAACGGGCGGTTTATATGCCCGTTACGAATAACCCGTTATTTGTAACGGGCAGTTAAAATGTCCGTTACAAATAAGCACAAGAGGTAGAAAAAGTCGAACGTGCAATATATTATATAAGCAAAAAATTCATCCAATACAAAACAAAATATAGCACTTTGGAAAAGACAAGCCTAACATTAGTGTGGTTAACCAAAAAGTTACGACATTATATGTTACCACACTACTCATGTGATTTCTCAACAAAATCCGATAAAGTATTTGTTTGAACAACCACCCATACAAGGAAGGATATCTAAGTGGTTGGTGATGTTGGCTGAATTTGAGTTAAAATATATTCCTGAAAAATCAATGAAAGGAAATGTAATTTTCAACTTCCTGGCACAACATCCAATTCAAACAAGTCATGCAGAAACTACTCATCTTCCGGATGAAGAAATTCTCATGACACAAGATGACAAATGGGTAATGTACTTTGACGGTGCGTCCAATAAAAAAGGCTGTGGCGTAGGAGTGTTACTTATAAGTCCAGAGGGAGCACATACTCCAATCTCTGTTAAAATAGACTTTGAGGTTACTAATAATGCCGCAGAATGTGAAGCGTGCATTATTGGATTAGAAGCATCAGCTAGCATAGGTGTGCAAAAATTAGAGGTATATGGAGACTCCAGTTTGATTATAAATCATATATTAAAAAAATGGAAAATAAAGAACTCGACAATGATATTATACCAAGCACACCTAGAGAAACTCATCGAGCATTTTGAACGTATTGATTTTAAATATCTCCCAAGGGATGACAATAAATTTCCCGATGCGCTAGCAAAATTAGCCTCAATGATCAACATTCTAGATCATTTAAATATGATGCCATTATGCATTGATATAAGAGAAGAATTAGCGTATTGTAACTCAATAGAGGAAATAAATGACATTGAAGGAGACAATCCTTCGTATGATCATATCCTCCAATATATTACTCATGGCACATATCCCAAAAATACTTCATCGAAAGACTAACGAGCCTTACGAACACATGCGGCCCAATATGGTCTAATAAATGGTCAATTATGCAAAAAGGGACCTAATGGTCAAAGCTTACTATGTATAGGCCAACCGGAAGCCACACACCTTATGGAAAATACTCACAAAGGTGTTTGTGGACCTCACATGAATGGTAAAATGCTTTCAAAAATAATTTTACGGCAAGGGTACTATTGGTCCGCTATGGAACATGATTGCATATAATATGTAAAAAAATGTTTACAGTGCCAAATGTTCGCTAATTTACAACACCTTCAACAATCCGAACTATACAATCTCACTTCCCCTGGCCTTTTTCGACTTGGGGAATTGACATAATTGGAAAAGTCTCTCCAACAGGATCAGGAGGGAACGAGTACGTATTAGTTGCCATTGATTACTTTACTAAGAGGATTGAGGCTTCTTCTTACGTGAATAACACTTCAAAACATTTCGTAAAGTTTCTCGAACGAAACATATTTTGTAGATATGGAGTTTCATATGAACTAATTAGTGATCAGGGATCTCAATTCAAAGCTGAAGTCAAGACCCTCTTAACTCGTTATAAAGTAAAACATCATCACTCATCCCCATACAGTCCTCAAATGAATGGAGCTGTAGAGTCGGCAAATAAAAATATAACAGTCATCATTAAGAAAATGGCAAAAAATTACAAAGACTGGCCAAATAAACTACACTTCGCATTATGGGGTTATATAACGTCTATACGAACATCAATAGGGGTAACTCCATACTCCTTAGTTTTCGGAATGGACGCAGTTCAACCAGTCGAACTGGAAATACCATCCCTACGCATCATACTCGAAAGTAAGCTACCGGAAGCTGAATGGGAAAGAGCAAGGTATGAAGAGATTTTATTCCTCGATGAGCGACGATTAAGAGCTTTGCATCATGTACAATTCTACCAAAGGCGCATTGCGCGTCATTTTAATAAAAGGGTAAAGCCTAGAAATATAATAGAAGGTGACTTTGTACTAAAGGAGGTTAGGGGTCCACCAACCGATCCAAGAGGGAAATTCAAACCTAATTGGATAGGTCCCTAACGCGTAATTGAAATCCTATTAGGAGGAGCCGTTAGATTAATGGATATTGGAGGAGATGAAATTCGCTAATTAATAAACATTGATCGCCTTAAGAAATATTACATATGAAATCCGGATAAAATTCGTTCACTCATACAACCAACTTTAATTATCATTCGATTGAAAGATTCTAAGTGTTATGCATTTTACCGAATAACACGGTAAAATACATAACACTTGGGGGGGGTAATTAAGAAATAATAAACCGTTCTAAGTGTTCAAATTTTTTCGAACATTACGAAAAAAATCTTCACACTTGGGGGGGGGGGGGGTAATAATACGAATTTTTAAAATAAATTTTTCGAGACATTTGTAGCACAGGTGTCGAGCGCAATTGGAACAGTTGCGCGCGGATGTCACGCGCAACTGATTTTGTTGCGCGCGACAGGCTGGCACAACTCCAGAAGTTGCGCGCGCCACCTGATGACGAAATGCGAACCCGATTTTTTTTTTGCGTTTGAATAAAGTTACGATTTCTACTTACGATAAAAGAGGGTGTTTCTTAAATATAACATATACTCGGAAAATAAAATTAAACTTTGATATAATTCTTTTAAACAAGGTTTGATTAATTTTTTTCATTTATTTTCTATCTAAGAGATTAAAGAAAAAATATAACAAAATAAAAAATGCATAATAATTTAAAAAAAAAAATTAGAACTACGCAAAGATCGGATTTTGCAAAGCGAATACGTAGGAAATCTTTATGATTCGGTCATATCAAAATATAAAAATATGAAGCTCATTTTATTTCATTCAAAATTCAAAAGAGAGACATTATTGAACTAGGTAATAAAAAAAAACATAGTATTGATTACACTTTATTTGAAAAAAAAAACTAATGGTAAAATTCTGTAACACTCTAAGGTTTTACTATGTCCTCGATTGTCACAGATGATGGAGGAGTAGTTTCCATTGCAGCATATTCAGAAACCTTGGAGCTTTCTCCTACACTCTTCTTTTTCACCCAAACATTGTTTTTCAATTTTTGGATTGGGGCCTTTGCAACCTATTTTCCTTTCCCTTTGACTATTGGATTTTTCTTGTGAGTATTTGGTGTTCCACCAAGGAATCACAAACCATATGTTAGGAACTCCATGACAGAAAAACGAAGTCCATTTCTCTTCATTCTTATGTTTATAAAGGATTCGACGTCCAGGAAAGGTCTTTACTCCATTAGCCTCAAGGTTTTGAGGCTGATCAACAATTCGCAAACGCTCCATGAGCCAAATCTGAAAAAGACAAAAAAAAATTTATTTTGCAATTTATTACACGACAAGGTGGCGCATGCAACTCAGAAGATTGCGCTGGTCATGCCAGCGCAACTTCTTAATTTGCGCTGCTAAACACTAAAAAAAACGTACGTGTAATAGGAGTGGACTTCCCGTGAAATCGTTTTTGTTAGGATCTCCTCTAAGGCGATTCAAGCACAGAACGGTTTCTGCCAAAACCAAAGGAGAGGGTGAATGACATCCCTCTATTTTCTCTACTATGGACACCATTGAATAATCTCTGTATTCTTTGCCTGTCCTAAGTAAAAAATTAACAACAAGATAATAACATAAAGCATGAATTTTAAAGCGTTGTTTAGTCATGTTGTCACGAGGGGCGACGAAGTGTTTAATAAATTGAATTAATTTCATGCCTTCTTCAGTTCCTATGTTGGTCATATCATTGTCGGACAAACCAAAAAATCTTTGGAATATAGGTTTGGGATCCGACAAGGTAGGCGAATAAGTCACGGGGAGAGTGTTTGTAGGGAAACCTAGCAAGGCTTCGAACTCACCAGGAAGGGGGACAATTTCATCACCTCTAAACAAGAAAAGATGGTGGTTAGAGTCCCAATGGTTGACAGTTGCATGTAATTCAACAAAGGGTCTAAATGGTAAATTTTTAAAGCTAGTTTGTCCTCAGTTGAAAAGCAGGTGACCCATTGCTTCAAACGTTGTTCAAAGGTCTTCACCATTGTTCAAAAAAAGAGAGAGAGAGAATAAGATTTTAGAGAGATTAGTTCTTTTTAATTTCTTATGTTACTAAGCGAATGAATGCGAGATGATCACTGACAGGTGGCGCGTGCAACACCTGAGTTGCGCGCGACACCCGCGCGCACCAAAATTACATGCGCGTGACAGCCGAGCGCAACTCATGAAGTTGCACGCGACTCCCCTAACGCAACATGTAATTATGGTTAATTTCCGTATTTTGGGTCATATAATGACGGAATCTTCACGAAATCTTAAGACGAATCATACGCTTGCCTTCTAACACTTTGTGTCCCTTCTCTTGCCTACTTTTTATTTTCTTTTATTATTTTCTTATTTTCTTGTTTTCTTTTATTTTTCTTTTTTCCATTATTTTCCTACTTTCTTTTCCTTTTTATTTTCTATTATTTTCCCACTTTTTTATTTTTTATTTTTTTTTCTTTTTCCTTCTTTTTCCCTTCTCTATGGAGTTTGTTTTTTTTGAGGGGGGTAAGTCGAAAACCCTTTCCCTCCCTCAAAAATTTTTCGCATTAATGTACACATGGAAACAAATAATAATAATAATAATAATGACATATATACAAATGTGTCATATATACAAAAACTATAAATATACATAAGTTTCCTAAAAAAATATATAAATGTGTATAAGAGGAATCAAGGTGCTCGGTGACTACTAGACGGTTGCTGCACATCCTGCAAAATCCAAAATGAAGATTAATACATGAAATGTAATAACTTCGTTGCAAAGCAAAAAAAAAATAAAAAATAAAAAATAATAATAACTTACCGCGATCATCAGATGATCATGACATGACAAAG